CCCCCTGGGGGGTGATTTCTCGCTTTCTGTCTCTCTGTCTCTCTCTCTGTCTTTAACTAATAAAAACAATAATAATGACAAAAAAAAAAAAAAAAAGATTTTGGGCACACACACACATGCCTGGTGTGCTTATTTTTAAGCTGCCAAGTCTGGGACTTGAACCATGGAGATGGTCATGTGGGACCCAGTGCCTTACCCACCACAATACCTGCTGGCCCGACAGAAATTTTTGATAATTCCTTAAGCACCCTAAGCATTGGTACTCACAACCATGCCTCTTTTATAGACCTCAGTTGGTGGATGCTGTCACCTCTGCTCAGACCTCAGACTCTTTAGAAGCCATTTTGGACTTCCTGGATTTCAAGAGTGACAGCAGCATTATCCTCCAGGAGAGGTTTCTCTATGCCTGTGGATTTGCCTCCCATCCCAATGAAGAAGTCCTGCGAGCCCTCATTGTAAGTTAAATGGACCCTGGGGAGATAGAGACTTTCAGCTGCTGTTCTTAAGAATGTTAGCAATAACTGAAAGTTGCTGGTGGCATGATGTCTAAGGGGCTAGATTCCCATATGGCTGACTGCTGTTTGAATCCTGGGCTGGGTGGCTTGAAAATCATGACAAATAAGTAAATAAATAAATAAATGTTTTTTAAAAAGTTACTTAGGGAAGAATGAAGGTGCAATTAGAGACGTCTGGGTATTTATATTCAAATTCTATTGGGCTATTTTCTATCTATTAATAATTATCTGTACAATAATTTTTTTCGCTATGTCTTCTTTGCAATTCCACTAAAGAGCATAAACTATACTGCACGGAAATTTAAAGACTGTGTTTACCTATCATATCATACATTACAGGACAAAATTTCCTAGATGAAAAGTCTAGGTTATGCTTCAATAATCAATTTTAAAGAATTTGTCTTGATATCAAAAATCTTCATGGTATTTAGTATGCATACATTAAAGATATAAAAATTCTTCCAATGTTAAATTATATTGAAAATAAAAGCTAGACTTCTCTTGGGGGCAAGATTTTTAAAAAATTATACTTATCCATTTATGATCTCATGGAATAATTCATAATATTTTTGGAAAGCAGGCCTGTCTGAGAATCTGACAAGTGAGACAAAGTCCCCATTTTATCCATGCTTAAAATTTTATTATTATTATTATTAATTAAATAATTTTATTTATTTTTTCAATTTGTCATAGGACGTACACATTCACTAGCCTGGTGTGCTTATTTTTAAGCTGCCAAGTCTGGGACTTGAACCATGGAGATGGTCATGTGGGACCCAGTGCCTTACCCACCACAATACCTGCTGGCCCGACAGAAATTTTTGATAATTCCTTAAGCACCCTAAGCATTGGTACTCACAACCATGCCTCTTTTATAGACCTCAGTTGGTGGATGCTGTCACCTCTGCTCAGACCTCAGACTCTTTAGAAGCCATTTTGGACTTCCTGGATTTCAAGAGTGACAGCAGCATTATCCTCCAGGAGAGGTTTCTCTATGCCTGTGGATTTGCCTCCCATCCCAATGAAGAAGTCCTGCGAGCCCTCATTGTAAGTTAAATGGACCCTGGGGAGATAGAGACTTTCAGCTGCTGTTCTTAAGAATGTTAGCAATAACTGAAAGTTGCTGGTGGCATGATGTCTAAGGGGCTAGATTCCCATATGGCTGACTGCTGTTTGAATCCTGGGCTGGGTGGCTTGAAAATCATGACAAATAAGTAAATAAATAAATAAATGTTTTTTAAAAAGTTACTTAGGGAAGAATGAAGGTGCAATTAGAGACGTCTGGGTATTTATATTCAAATTCTATTGGGCTATTTTCTATCTATTAATAATTATCTGTACAATAATTTTTTTCGCTATGTCTTCTTTGCAATTCCACTAAAGAGCATAAACTATACTGCACGGAAATTTAAAGACTGTGTTTACCTATCATATCATACATTACAGGACAAAATTTCCTAGATGAAAAGTCTAGGTTATGCTTCAATAATCAATTTTAAAGAATTTGTCTTGATATCAAAAATCTTCATGGTATTTAGTATGCATACATTAAAGATATAAAAATTCTTCCAATGTTAAATTATATTGAAAATAAAAGCTAGACTTCTCTTGGGGGCAAGATTTTTAAAAAATTATACTTATCCATTTATGATCTCATGGAATAATTCATAATATTTTTGGAAAGCAGGCCTGTCTGAGAATCTGACAAGTGAGACAAAGTCCCCATTTTATCCATGCTTAAAATTTTATTATTATTATTATTAATTAAATAATTTTATTTATTTTTTCAATTTGTCATAGGACGTACACATTCACTAGAGAGAGAGAGAGAGAGAGGAAAAGTGAGAAAGCAAGCCACTAGGTCCAGGACTCAAACCATGGTTGGCCATGTGGGAGTCCAGTTCCTTAACCCCCCTATCACCTCCATGCATAAAATTTTACAAACCATTTTTTTGGGGAAGAAGTTCACTGACCCAATGAATTCAATCCATAACCCCTAGGGAGTTCACAGATATCTACTTTAAGAACTTCTGGAAAAGGAAGATCCTATTAAGTCTTCAGTTCAAAGCTAGACAGAGAACTTGTCAGTGTCCCAAAAGCGAAATTCTGAGTGTGTCAAGAGACATTAAAAAAATTTCTCTCAGGATTGGTTACTTTATTCCTTAACTGAAAGTATCCCTTGGAAATGGTTAAACATCTTAATAAACTGTTTTATCTCTCTTTGGCTACTAGAGTAAGTTCAAAGGTCCCTTTGGGAGCAATGACATCAGAGAAACCGTTATGATCATCATTGGGGCCCTGGTCCGGAAGCTGTGTCAGAACGAAGACTGCAAACTGAAAGTAAGCCATCAGTCCCTCTTTAGACCATCCTATTTAGCACCCACTGTGCTGCTACCACCGCATTTCTCATCCCCCTTCCCCACTCCAGTCTCATGTACTTTACAATTCAGTTGTTTATTGTTTATTTCTGTTTCCCGCTAGAATGTAAGTTCCATGCAGAAATGGTCTTTGTTTTAGTCAACACCGATTGCTTAACATGGTGACTGGTACTTAAGTAGTGCTGAGGGAACCCTGGTGGAAGGTGCGCATGACATTAACTTCCTTCCAGTATACATTATTGAGGGCCTGCAACGGTGTTGCCTGCTATGCATTTGGCTATAGACACCATTCAAAACCAGTACTTTTCATGTTCAGAACAGCGTTAGATTTGTCAACATGAGATAAAGCAGCTTGTCAGGTAAGCAAAAAGATTTATTCCTAATAATCTGAAATGGCGGAGTTGGGCTTTCTTTTACAGACAGAATAGGTGAGAAGGAAGGTTGCAAACGTTTATTTTTCCCTAAGAATTCACAGCATTGGTTCACAAGAATAAGTTTCTGATTGGCTTTCTTCAGTTTCACACATCATACATTTAGTAACCTAATTAACAGGGAAGAGGAGGGGTGACAGCGAGCAATATCCTGTCTGTGGTAGCAAGGGTACTTTTACTTTAAAGCCAGCTGCTCAGTGAATTCTCTGCTCAGATGTGCCCTTGAACAATTACTTAAAACAGGTATGAGTGAGAGGAAATTGAGACTGTGCATGAATCTCTCTGAGGCCAGTGTTAATCAAATTTTCATCTTTTTTAGATAGCTTTCTTTTCTACTCAGGGATTTACTTTGGTTGATGTTTGAGCACACGGTCTAATTAGGCTTCCGTAACTAAACTCACACTGTAGCCCAAAATATGTGAGTTAGTTTACGGCCAGGAGACTCTGGGACGCCAAGTTAGAGCCTTACACATTTCAAATGCCTTGTTTGTCTTACTTCCTTTCTCAGCCTCTTAGTTACCTTGTGGAGTAGCTCTTTGTCTGTAGTAACTGTGATGTGCTGCAGTTATGAGTTTGAATTCAGTTACTTCTAATCATTTAGAACTTTGTATTTTATTTTTAATTTTATTTACTCAAAACTCCTCTACTGGCCTGAGTGACTATAAATTTTCATATCTGTGTCATTAAAAAAACAAAAAAGACAAAGCCACCCACTTTGTAAGCATAACTAAATATGGAAAATCCAAATGGGTTAATATCTAATGCAGCCCATCTTTCTATAATGCACATAGATTAAAGATGCTGAGTATATAAAACAGTCTTTTTCTTTCCACATTCATTATACAGCCAGCATTCAGTTAGCATTTTACTTCAATGTCAAACAGACATCACTGTATAATCTTGCTTATTACTAAGTGCTTGCTATTAAAAAATATAGGGAGAACTTCTTGAAACCAAATGTTTCCATAAGAAACAACCCTTAACTAGAATGTACACAAAGTATAAGAAAGATGACTGAAAAACAATGCACTGAAAATGTTTGAGTATTAGTTTATTAAATTTTGACCAAAATAAAATTTAGTATTATTTTATGACATTAGAGGACTGTGAATTCTTATATTTTTCAAGTTCCATAAGTATTTGAGTAGATGACTACTTCAGCAGCTCATATATTAAATATCTTGGCCAAAGACAAAACTCACATATAAAAATATCATGTAGCATTATTTTAAAGGCATCTGCCCTATGCTAGGTGTGATGCTAATCCTTTACTATGAAGATGCATAAACTATTCTGCCTGCCATCCTCAAAAAATTCCTAGTCTGTTCATCAAATATAAACTGATAAATAATATTGAAATATAAACAAAGTGCTCTAAGAATACAGAAGATGCAACAACCTCTTCTGTTTAAGGGTGCTGGGGAAGGTTTCACCAAAATGGTAATATTTGTGGTTAGCACAAACGAATTTTTTAGGTGAAGGTATCACAGTATGGAATGAAGGACATTCTAAGAGAACTGTAATAACGTATGAAAAGACCCAAAGTCAAAATGGGCCTGATATGCTTGGGACTAGTGAGAAATTCTGTAGGGCTGGAACATAAATATGCAGAGAAGAGGGGCAAGCTGGGTCTTTTATTAAGGATGAGCTAAGGAGTCTGGCCATTCTATAGAAAGAGAGGAGAATGCAGTTTTTAGATATGGAATGACACACTCAGATTTTTTTAGTTAGGAAGAAGCAAGTTGGTGTATGGATTGAGTGTTGACTGGATTAGAATCAGTTAAGATCTGAGTGGAATCATTTGCAATAAGCTAGGCAAGAATTAGTGAAGGTATGAATTAATGCAGAAGCAGGGGAGGTAAGAAGACAGATTCAAGAGCCACTTAGGACACAGAGTCAATAGAATTTAGTGACTGATGAGACCTGGGGGATAGAACAGGTAGACTCCAGGTGACTCTGAAGCCTACAGGGTAGGATACCAGGTATCTGGTGACACCCACAAGCAAGGTTCATAAAGCCTGCTCAGGGCGTGGGAGGATAGAACTGTTCACTTGTTTTGGCCATGTAAGTCTGATGTTCTTTGGGCCACAGGGTTGAATTGTGCAACAGGCAGATAGCCACACTCATCTATAGCTCAGGATAGAAATTAGAACCAGGAGTAGATGGTGGCTGAAGCCTTGGGAAGAAATGAGCTTATCCAGGAGAGGCACGTAGCCTGAAAAATAAACTACACAGAGGTTTAAATGTTAAGTTCTTCTCACAGTGAGACAGCCCGTTCTTACCATATCTTTAAAATCGCCTTGTACATATATGCAAACTATCTATTATCACTGCCATTCCACTTGTTTAAGTTTATTTATTACTATTTCTTCCATGAGCAAAAAAGACAGAGAGAAAGAGACAGACAAAGAAACAACACTGACGATAGAGTCTTCATGCCACAATCCTCCACCCACTGCCTCAGCTTCACCCAGCCCCACATCATGGGCACTCATGTGCTGGCATATTCAGAGAGGTCTCTGGATGTGAACCTGGAACCTTCCCATGTGGGCCAGCTTCACTGAGCATTGCTTTATGCTACAGTGTTTTCCAGTCCTAGCTGCCTTCAGTTTGGTTAATGTTTTAAAACAACTTTTTAATTTTTCAGCATCTTTAAGGATGATTGTGATGTGGCCACCAGATGGACTATAATTAATGTTTGGATTTTCCTTGTGATCTTCTGCTGTGAAACATTCATCTACTTTTTGCCCAAATCAAAATATATGAATAGAAAGAAAGTGATGTACTTAAAGTCCAACTTGAAGATATCTTCAGGGTATGCAATACTCATACTGCCCAAAAGGGAACTGCCGTCTTACTGAGTGCTAGAGCTTTTCAGCCTTTTCTGGTATGAAAGCTATTGCCCTATGACAGTCCAAATGGCAGCTGGACAATTGCACAACTAACATTAAGTCCCATATTTTTTTTCTCTTTGTTTTAATTTATATTTTGATTATTTTATTGCTAGAGGGAATGTGTGCTTGCCATAGAGAGAGAGAGAGAGAGAGAACAAGAGAAAGAGGGAGGGGGAAACATCCTTCAGTGGGGCATGGTCACACCACAATCCTTTCTTCATTTCTTCATCCTGTTGGAATTTAGGGCACATATGCACATGTGCTCAGTATGTTTTTCAAGCTGCCAGGGCTGGGATTCAAACCATTGCTGTTGGCCATGTGGGATCCAGTTCCCTTAACCAGGGCCAGCCCCTTTTATCTACATTTTGACCTCCTTGTATCCTAGTTTATTTTTTTCTTCACAACTAGTACATGTATAAAGTTCAAACGTACATAGAATTTGCAAGAATATTACAATTCCATGATCATTTGTATGCTCTTATCTAGGTTTTTATTGCTCTATTTGCATTAAATCTATGTTTTATTTTATTCCAATTAAAACATTAGTAAGTGGGAACCAGCAGTTAGCGTAATGGCTATGTCGCTGGACTCCCACGTAGTCGACCACGGTTCGCGTCCCGGACCCAGTGGCTTAAAACTCACGCCGGGCGCATGTGCGTGCGTGCCCAAGATCCTGAGAGGAGAATGGAGGAGAAGGGATTGCGGCATGACCATCCCCTCTGGGGGGTGACTTCTCTCTTTCTGTCTCTATGTCTCTCTCTGTCTGTCTGGTGAGCACATGCGCCCTATAGCGAAAACCTCTCCAAAACAAACAAACAAACAAAAAAGATTAGTAAGTGAATTGCACACATCTGACATTTAATTCCTAAATATGCTAACTTATTACTTGAGTGCCGTTGCATCTAGATTTTCAGAATGGACTCCATATATTGATTTACATATTGTTATAAGTATGCACTATGATAGCTCCAATTCTAGCCCAACACAACAGGCTCTTGTTCTTCCTCGATTCCATAATTACATTTTCCTTGTCCCATAGTGAGGACTCTGGTTTTCAAGAACATCAATATATTGATTCATTCACTCAATCCCAAGTACACACATGAAACAGTTTTGGAATTGCTACACCAATATCACTACAAAAACAAACTAGGTAAAGGTCAAGACTTCATTACAGATCATTTTGTCCATAGGACAGAGAACCTTCCATAGCACATGTATAGAGGCTTAGATGAATTCTTTCTTGTTTTTTTTTTTTTTCTATTTAGCTATTTCATCAATTTGATACACATTTATTTATTTCTATTTGAGTTAAATTTTAATAATTTTGTATTCTCATTGATTTATTTCCTGAATATGTGAAATATTAACATGGCTCAGGGATGGCAGGTAGCATAGTGGTTAAAGGTGCTGGATTCCCAGATGGCCAACCATGGTTCGAGTCCTGGACCTGGCAGCTTACTTTCTCACTTTCCTTTTCTTTCTCTGTCTCTCTCTGGTCAAATTAAAATAATAACAACAACAATAATAATAGCATTAACAAATTAAATTAAATAAATAATTCTTTAAAAAAACAAACAAAAACAAAGAAATACTAACATGGCTTGAAAGTCCAAGTTGCAATTTAAAAGTGTTTT